GTTTTGACACAAGGACACAAATACAGATGGGGGATACTAGATATTACAGCTCAAGCTCAATTGATACTGAGTTATCGGTAACTTTTCGTGCTAACAATGTTGTAAATGCGAGCTAAATCCAAAGGACATAACTCAAACAATTATTATTGCTTCTCCCATTTTTAGATTAGTGACAAACGAGCGGGACTTCAACTCATGGAAAACGAATACAAGGTATGGATATCAATATTATTGTATTATACTTCTCCAATACATGTAAATCTATATGTATGTGTGAAAAAAGGGGCGAGAAATCAGTGTTTAAAACCATATTTCATTGATATAATATACACAGTGTAACGGTTTATAAAATTGGACCAAATGAATTTATTTTTATATATTTATTCACCCCCCCCCCCCTCTCTCTCTCTCCCCCTCTCTGTCTGTCTGTTTCTCTCGCGCGCCCTCTCTCTCTCCATCTCAGATTGTCAGTTGTATCCATCAGTCCCCGCCTTTTCTCTCTCTTTCACTCTCTCTCTCACTCTCTCTCTCTCTCTCTCACTCTCGCTCTCTCTCCGTCTGTCTTTCTCTCCGTCTGTCTTTCTCTCCGTCTGTCTCTGTCTCTGTCTCTCTCTCTCTTGCCTGTGTCTTCCCTCGCTGTCCCCCACCCCGGGAGCGCAAGGAAATTCAAGAAAGCGCTTGTCTTGCATACTGCTTACCTACGTATGTGTCGTTCAAGCTGTGTTTATATATATATGCATGTGTTTGCTCCTGCTTCTGTTTTTCAGGCCAAAGTCAGCAGACTTATGGGTCGCAGTTACAATGGAAGCAAACAAAATGGCCGCCAAGCTAATAAGATGGGAAGAAGTTTTGATCCTTAGAAAGATGGTGAATTCAAATTATTGTTGAAGTGTGGCGGTCTTCAAATAGCGAGATCTCTGGAATCATACCAACGGAAATGCAATGGAATGGCAGATCTATATTTTGTTTAGACTTTGGACAGGTCGGTCTCTAAAATTATGCTACGAACGTTGTAAAATCAAAAACAGCGCTTCCATATTTTGTTCCTTGTATCGCCATGTATATAATGTGATTTCATGGAATTATCCTGGGTAAGTGTTCTCACATTGATGAGGTTTATGAGCATTAAATTATATTGTTAGGTGTCCAAGGCGAAGTGGCCCGCTGCGCTAAACAGTGTGAGAGAGATTGTCGTGCTATGTGTATTTATATGCTCGTGTATCATGTGTTTGTGTGTGTATGTGTGTGTATGTGTGTGTGAGTGTATGTGTCTGATCATGAGTGTGTGTACGTCTGTATGAGTGTATTTGTGTGTGTGTGTGTGTGTGTGTGTGTGTGTGTGTGTGTGTGTGTGTGTGTGTGTGTGTGTGTGTGTATACACGCACACGTGCGTCGTCTGCACGCTAGTTCAACGAAAAGCATTTATTTTGTCATCAGAGGATTATTCTTTGTTCGGCCGAAGATTCATAAAGTTTATTTAACCTGCCCCAAAGCAGATAAACACATTAATGAGTTTTGAAACATTCGTAACTTCTTACATAGCAGATAATTAGTTACTGTTGCGGTACTATCAACTATGTAGTGCTAGAACCCTGAGTACCTACATTGTGGATTCTCTTCTGATAAACCTTTGGTGCCAGTACAGCATTCAGCAACACCTGACCTCTACAACGTTGCTTTGTCTGAAGTACCTCATTGAATCAGTATTATATACTTGTTTAATACTTTGTAAATATAATATTTATGTATTATTATGTACATACTATTATGCACAAGGTTAGGGAAACTGCACCTCAACTCATTATTATATCAACCCCCTCCCATTTTCTCTCCCTCTCTCTGTGTCTGTCTCTCCCTCCCTCCCTCTGTGTGTGTGTGTGTGTGTGTGTGTGTGTGTGTGTGTGTGTGTATGTGTGTGTGTGTGTGTGTGTGTGTGTGTGTGTGTGTGTGTGTGTGTGTGTGTGTGTGTGTGTGTGTGTTCATTACTTTCTTGTAACACCTCTAATCTGCGGCATGTATATGACCTTTTTGTGTTGTAAGAGCCGTAAAACTTTTCTTTTTTTTTTTAAGTAGCTTGCACTGGCAAGTAACAATTCTTAACCTACCTTCATCATGAAAGAGTCCGATTTGAGAGTCTTTTAATTGACTCTTTGGTGCCTCGTCTGTTTGGGGGGAAAAATGGGTGCCAGTTAGTAAATGCATCAAAATTTAAGCGAAGCATAAAAGAGAGACAAAAGGTAACTGAGACAAAATGTTAGAGGGTGGATTTGGGTATAGTACGTCAATTTAAACTGGAAAAAAACGTATCTTTTTTTTATGAAAAAGAGTGGGTAAGAAAGAGACAGACAAAGAAAGAGAGGGGAGAGAGA